ATTGGGCTGAGTGCAGTGGTACACACTTATAATCCAGAGACTCAGCAGGCTGAGGAAGGAGGATTATAGGGTCCAGGCCAGCCTGAGAAACTTAGTGAGACCCTCAGCAATTTATGAAGACCCTTTCTTAAATTAAAAAAAAAAGAAAGAAAGAAAAGGACTGAGGATATAATTCATGATAGAGTGCACTGGGATTTAATCCCCAGTACCAAAAAAATAAAAGAGTTGAGAACCTGGAAATTCTTATGAATTTCAAATCTATAATGTTTATGATTTTATTATTTTTTTGTTATTATTTTGGTGCTGGTAAGCTGCTGATTGAACATGGGGCCTCATACATGCTAAGCATGCACACTACCACTGAGCTATCTCTCCCCCTCCTTTTTTTTCAAGTTAATCAAACCTCACCTGTTGCCTCCTACCCTGCTTAACTAGAATTGAGCCTTGAGACTGTTGCCATTATAGCTGAAAACCTAAGAGGAACAGGAAACTTATGGGGAAGAGACTTAATGCTAAAAAAAGGAAAAGTATGCAGGTAACCTGTGATAGCTGTTGTTAATAAATCTGGATAATCAAACCTAAGAATAGGACAAACCTGGTAGGGGCTGGGAGATGTGGTATAGTGGTAGAACTCTTGCCTACCAGGATGGCAGCAGTCTTGGGATCCATCCTCAGCACTGGAGAGTGGTGATAGGGAGAAGCAAAAGACATTATTGGTAAAACAGATAGTCCAAAAGATGGCATGAGTTGTCTTCATGGATCACCAAACATTAGCTAATATGATGGCCTCTAAAAACATTTCTGACTTAATGGCCCATCCTTGTAGAACAATTGGAATTATCAAATGTGCTAATTATAGAAAAGACCACTCTCCAGACATAATACTTGCTACTAAGGTTAGGAACTCTGAAAATATCTCTTAATGCCTCCAGGTCTGAAATTGTCCTCTAAGCCCTTTAAGCATATCTCATGTGCCCATTTAAAATCCAACTTGTGACTAAGCTTCCTAACTAAAGGCTGGAAGGTGAACTCTGAAAAATAAATTGATATCATTAATCCATTTACAGGGGTAGAGTGTCTCTGTGTACCTCAAAACCCTAACATGTCATGTATCAACATGTAACAAAAAAAATCCCATCATTATGTAAAACTAGAATGCTCACACACACGAAAGGCCAGTGTAAAAAACAAACAAAAAACCTTACATGTAACATAGGGTAGAGTTTGCTATTGGCAATCCTGAATGAGGCTGAAATGGTAGTTTCAGAACCAACAAAGGAGCTGGGCATGGTGGCGCATGCATGTAATCCCAGCAATTCTGGAGACAAAGGCAGGTGGATTGCAAGTTTGAGGCCAGCCTCAGCAATTTAGCAAAGACCCTGTCTCAAAAATAAAATAAAAAGGGCTGAGGATGTAGTTCAGAGATAGAGTGCTCCTGGATAGAATCTCTGTTAGGGTTGTGGGGAGAACAAACAAAAGGGAATGCTGATGAATCATCAGTGACTGATCAACAGTGGTAGAAGGATGAAAGCCTATAAATGAGAAGCATTATTTTAACTTTAGGTTAAGACTGAAGCTCATTGATTAGGCAAGGGGAAAAGGCCTGCACAACTGCTAAACATTTTTTGGATCTGCTGAAAGCTAAGCATATTCTCTACCACTGAGCTACACCCCTAATCCTGCTAAGTATTTCTTGCCACCTTTTTTTTTTTTTTCTTTTTGGTATTGGGAATTGAGCCTAGGGGTACTACATTCCCAGTTCATTTTGAGACAGGTCTTTTGTTGAATTGCTGAGACTGGCTTCAAACTTGTGATCCTCCTGCCTCAGCATCCTGAGTCACTAGGATTATAGGTAATTGCCACCAAACTTGCTCTCATGTGCCAAAGCAATGAGCTGGTATTTCCAAGTCTCCCATCCTATTGTTTTTCTCTTCTTATACATGAGTTCTTTAATTCTAACAAATAGAAAGAACCTGTGTATAGCTGGATGCCGTGGTGCACTCCTGTAATCCCAGCAACTTGGGAGGCTGAAGCAGGAGAATCGCTAGTTCAAAGCAATGGTGAGGTGCTAAGCAACTCAGTGAGACCTTGTCTCTAAAATAAAATACAAAAAAATAGGACGGGGGATGTAGCTCAGTGGTCTAGTGCCCCTGAGTTCATTCCCTGGTACCAAAAAAAAAAAAAAAAAAAGGAAAGAAAGAAAATAAACTTTGTGCTGATTTTTTGCTTGACATGTGCCACTATCTGGGGCATAGGCACAAGTGAGCCCAATACTGCTGTTTATAGTCACTTAAACATTAAGTACTTGGACAGTGTTCTGTGTCATGCTGCCTTTGGGTAACTATGGAAACTATAAAAATGATACTATAGGGAGTTGGAGTTGTGGCTCAGTGGTAGAGTGCTTGCCTGGCATGTGTGAAGCACTGGGTTCAATCCTCAGCACCACATAAAAATAAATAAATAAAATAAAGGTATTGTGTCCATCTTCAACTAAAAAAATGATACATACTATGGGATACTAGATTAGTTACTTCTTCATTGGCTTTCCAATCCAATGGACTCTGTTTGAGATGAAAAGATGATTCCCAGCTGCTGGTACCTCTTGTTCATCCAATTGGGAGATGAAATACCCAGCTGTGTTCTTCCCACTCTTTCATCATCATCATCTGAATAGTCTGCTTGGATTGTTAGTGATGAGCCAAGGAGAACAGAATAGATAAGCTGCCTATCAGTATAAAGAGCATAAATGAGCTCCTAGGTATGGTTATGCATAATAAAAACCAATGATGAAAGAAGGTGAAGTGGAAAGAAAAAATGGTGTTCATGAAAATTAAGGTGTTGGTGAGATAAAGATTGCTGCTCTGCAAATTGTGTTACCTCAGTAGAGCACTGAAAGGAATGAAAGTTATAAATGCATCATAAGCCAGCACACTTGTAATCCCAGTATCTCTGGAGGTTGAGGCAGAAGGATCTCAAGTTTAAGGCCAGCTTGGACAATTTAGTGAGACCCTTTTTCAAAATAAAAAGTGAGAAGGGCTGGGAATGTAGTTTAATGACAAAGAGCACCTGGATTCAATCCCTGATACTGGCGGTGTGTGTGGGCGGGTGCTCCATGAGTTCATGGCCCTCATGCCTATGGGCATTTGGATATGGGCCACCCTCCCATCCACTGAGTAATACTTTCTATGACATGTTCGAAGAGATGTCAACCTTTACTTGATCATTTTCCAGTTATAGTCATGGGGAGTCACTATTGCATGAACTAGGCTATCCCAGTTTTGATCAGATTTAATTGTTCAATGAATCTTCGGCAGTGAAGTGTAATCTGCCTCTGTAAATTAACTCAGTAATCTTTAATTTTTTTTTAAAGAGAGAGAGAGAATTTTAATATTTATTTATTTTTTTGTTTTCAGCGGACACAACATCTTTATTTGTATGTGGTGCTGAGGATCGAACCCAGTGCCGCGGGCGCATGCCAGGCGAGCGCGATACAGCTTGAGCCACATCCTCAGCCCAATCTTTAATTGTTTTAATACTTATTTTTTTTAGTTGCAGTTGGACAATACATTTATTTATTTATATGTAGTGTTGGGGACCGAACCCAGGGCCTTGTCCGTGCTAAGGGAGCACTCTACCACTGAGCACAACCCAGCCCAGTAATCTTTAATTTAAGAGGAAGATAAAAATGTATTATTTCCTCTTTTCACCTAATAATGACTTGAAGGCTATAGTTATTGAACTCTTAAGGTTTTTCTATTTTCCAAGTACATACTCCAGGTTCCTTTATTCATTGTTCTTATGTTATTTTATTTTTTAATTGTTGGGGATAGAACCCAGGGCCTTGTGTACACTAAGCAAGTGTTGTACCACTAAGCTTCACCCCCAGCTCCTGAATTTTTTCATATTATACCTAGCACCTAGATCAGTGCTTGAGCATAATAAGTGACATGAAACCAAAAGAAGAATAAAAATAATTTGCTGAAGGCCTACTCTGTGCCATGCATGGTATTTGGCTCCAGATTTAGATTTATAAAGTTCAATATACTGGGGCCCATGAACTTCAGCAATTAAAGTTTAGCAAGGAAGGAAAACAAATAAATCAAGAATTAAATTTATAAGTGTAGGCACAATGCTATTCAGCACAGAGGAAGAATACCTATGGGCTGGGGTTGTGGCTCAGAGGTAGAGCACTTGCCTAGCATGCATGAGGCACTGGGTTCAATCCTCAGCACCACATAAATAAAAAAAGATAAACTAAAGATATTGTGTCTACCTATAACTAAAAAATAAATGTTTAAAAAAATTTAAAAAAAGGAAAAAGAATACCTAAAATAAACTAGGACACCAGAGTACATTTCTTGGACAAGAGATGCTCCAGTGGAGCTTGAAGTGCATAGTGACAGCTGCATGGAGAAGGAGGAAGCAAAGAGGCACTATGGGCTTGGGCGTAGTGGTGTATGCCTGTAATTTCAGTGACTCAGTAGGCTTGAAGACAGGGATCACAAGTTTAAGGTCAACCTCAGCAATTTAGTGAAGCCCTAAGCAACTTAGGTAGACCATGTCTCAAAATAAAAAATAAAAAGGGCTGGGGATGTGGCTCAGTGGTTGGGTTCAATCTCCAGTACCAAAAAAAAAAAAAAAAAAAAAAAAAAAAAGGCACAGTGGTATAATATTATAACAAAATAATTTGGAGAAACTGGTATGGAGTATTTTTGTTGGTTGTGGTAGAAGGAGGCTACCAGCGCAAGCTGGAGCCAGTGTGAAGGGCCTTTATTGCTGAGTTTAGAGTTGAAGGTTTACACTAAAACACTTGGGGAAGTCACTGAAAGATTTTAAATACGAGAATATCATAAACTGATATTTTTTTGGTCTGGGGATGCGACTTAATAGTATAGCATATGCTCAACATGCACAATGCACTGGATTCAATTCTCTGCACCAAAGAAGAAGAAAAAGAAAGGAGAAGGAGAAGAAGAATACATAAAAAACAGAATCACCCGGTGCTTGCTTCAGCAGCACATGTACTAAAATTGGAGGAATACAGGAATTAGCATGTCCTCACAGCAAGGCTGATGCACAAATTCACGAAGCTTTCCATATTAAAAAACAAAAACAACAACATCAAAAAAATCACATGTAATTCCACTATCAGAGGTAACTACTAGTATCATATTGCTATAATTTCCTCCCAGTGTTTTCTACATAAATATTTTTAGTGAAAATGAGACCATATGTTATAATTTTGTATCCCTTTCTTCTTAATGTAATAACATAATTATGTATATGGGTGATTTCAACATTTTTCCCACTTACACTTTTATTTTTATTTTTGGATGCAGAGGATGGAATCAGGGCCCCCCCAAATGCTAAGCATATGCTTTACCACTGAGCCACACCCCCAGCCCCCATTTTTACTTTTTTTGTATTTCTAAAGTCTTATGGGGCTGGGGATGTGGCTCCAGCGGTAGCGCGCTCGCCTGGCATGGGTGAGGCCCGGGTTCGACCCTCAGCACCACATACAAACAAAGATGTTGTGTCCGCCGAAAACTAAAAAATAAATATTAAAAAAAAAAAAATTCTCTCTCTCTCTCTCTTTAAAAAAAAATCTCTTTCTTTAAAAATAAATAAATAAATAAATAAAATCTTGCATAATGAGCATGTGTTCTTTCAAAAAGAGTATTTACTTTTTCTAATCATCATAATATATAATAAAATGAAAAATGTTATAAGAATAATATATTATATATGTTCAATATGTAAAATGAAATGCAAAAAAACAGTATCACATAAAAAGGAAACTGCTTATAATATCATTACTCACAGATTACTGTTGACATTCTTTTACTTGCCTTTCTAGGCTTGTTTCTCATACATAACTTTACTTACTTACTTATGTATTTATTTTGCAGTGCTGGGGATAAAACCCAGGGTCTGGCGCATGCTAGGCAAGTGCTCTACCACTGAGCCTACACATATAACTTTTATGACTAAAGCAAACAAATTTCTCCACTCTGTGTGACTCTTCTCTGGTCCTCCTCCAGCCTGCTTTTCATCCTCTGCTTTCAGGAAGCCTGGAATTGTGTTCCAAATGGCTTCGTTGCCCCAGGGTTCTTCTTTCCAAACCACCATTCATACTGTGTACCCAAATATCTGACCCTATACTTTTCTTCTTAAAAAATCTTTCCTGCCTCCTCATTGCCTACTGAATAAGGTCCAAACTCGGAGCTACATGCAAGATTCTCTACTAGTACATCCCAAATTGCCTGCCTTGCCTGTCACCTTCCCCAGCACAGACTCAGCAGTGACACCTACCCTTCCCTTAGCAATACACTTTCTTGCCTGTGTAGTCTGCTGACCATGATTCCTGAGATGCTGCTTTTTCTATACTTGGTTACATTTTATTTATCCTTCCAGACTTATCCCAAACCTGCCACAGTGCCACACGCCTGAACTCCATCTACTTGGGAGACTGAGGCAGGAAGATGGCAATTTCAAGGCCTACCCCCAACAACTTAGCAAGACCCTGTCTCAAAATAATAATAATAAATTGAAAAGCTCAGTGGTAAAGCACACCTGGGTTCAATCTTTCTAGTACCAAACCAAAAAAAAAAAAAAAAAAGAAAGAAAAGAAAACAAAAACATCTCTCTGGGCAATGAAGGTAAACCTGTGTACCCACCTCTGGTAGAGTGCTCATGTTCATCTTTCCTGAAACTGTACTCTCAAGTGCAGTTCATAATCAATACACCTCTAGCACCTAGACAGTGCCTAATATATGCTATCATATGTGTGCATGTGGTACTGGGGATTAAACCCAGGGGCTCTCTACCATAGAGCCACATTCCCAGCCCTTTTTACCATTTTATTTTTCACTTTGAGACAGGGTCTCATTAAATTGCCCAGGCTGGCCTTGAACTTGTGATCCTCCTGGCTGCACGGTATTTTTTTTTTTTTTTAAGAGAGAGAGAATTTTAATATTTATTTTTTAGTTTTCGGCAGACACAACACTTGAGCCACAACCCCAGCCCTGCACGGTATCTTTTTATTTTTTTATTTGTTGGTACTGGGGATTGAACCAGAGGTGCTTAGCCCCTGAGTGACATCCCCAGCCCTTTTTCAATTTTTTATTTTGAGACAGTGTCTCGCTAAATTGCTTAGGGCCCCATGCTAAGTCTGGCTTTGAACTTGTGGTCCTCCTGCCTCAGCCTTCTAATACTAGGATTACAGGCAAGCATCACTATGACTAGCTGAATGATATCTTTTTACTTATCTTTTTACTTGAATGAATAAAGAATGTCTGAGTCCATGTTTTTTACTCAGCTAATCAACTAGTATTTCTTTTTTTATTGTTATGGTACTGGGGATCAAACCTGGAGCTTCCCACATGCTAGCCTTGTGCTCTCTACCACTGAACCACATCTCCAATCAACTAATATGTCTTAAATATCTACTATATGATCATTAATTTCAGGCTACTGTGGAGCTGTCAATTTTTCTTTTTTTTAAAGGACTGGGTATAGAACCTATGGACACTCTACTACTGAGCTATATTGTCAGCCCTTTATATTTATTTTAAGATAGGGTCTCACTAAATTGTCTAGACTGGCCTTGAACTTCTAATCCTCCTGCCTCAGCCTCAGAGTATCAAAGAATTCTATTAATTTAATACACCAAAGATAAAACATCTTTGGTGTATTAAATTAATAGAATTCTTTGATGAACTATGTGATGCCAGGGAAAGGAACAATTATCAAGTGTTAAGCTTGTTGGAAGAAAGCTCATGGTGAAGGTGAAATCTGAGCTGAATTTAACTATGGTGAGAATAGGATAGTCAGAAAAGAGGCAGAAAGGCATTTCAGATATGGGGAACAACACAGTCAAAGGGACAGGCAGAAACAGGATCATGCAGGCTTGCTTATGGAGAGGAATAGATAGGGCTATATGTGGCTGAGAATGTTTTCTAAGGAGGATTGGGAAAGAGCTTGGGTAGGTTGCCTAGGGCCAGGAAGGACTTAAGAGAGCCTCATTGGGATTGGGGAGCTATTTTAGGATACTTGCAAAAGACAGGAACCAAGTAAGAGGGTCAAGATGAGGTTAGCAGCAATGGGAAGGCAGAGAAATGGTTGAAGAGAAATTGCAAAGTTTGAATCAGAAAGCTGGCTTGACTATGCAGCCTGAGGGGAGGGAAATGTGTTAAAAACACCTTTTATGTTCTATTTATTTTTATTTTATATTTATTTTTTGAGGTGCTGGGAATAGAGCACAGGGCTTTGTGCATGCCAGGCAGGCTTTCTGTCACTGAGCCATACTCTAAAACCCCATCCTGTAAGCAATCCCCCACTCTCTACCCCTGTTAAGTTTTAAAACAAGGAAAGTGAATAAACCAAGATTCCAGTCCAGGCAGAAGAGAGGAGGGAATGTCCTAATAGTTAGGATAAAATCTACAATAGCTCCTGTATACCAAATTCCTAAGGAGACCTGAGGAGGTCTGCAAAGAATAACTTAGAATCATTTTTTGTTTTTCAATAAGACATTTTAGTGTGATCTGAAGTCCTTTGTGTGTGTGTGTGTGTGTGTGTGTGTGGCCAGGAATTGAACTCAGGACCTTGTACATGCTAAGCATGCACTCTACCACTGAGCTTGTCTACTCTGAGCTTGTAATATTTTTGAAACTTCCAACTTTTACCTTAATCAAGGAATTCAGACAATATCCCCTAATCACCTTAGAAATTAAAAAGTATATGAAATAGGCAATATCCAAATTTGAAGATCTGGAAGAGTGTGACATCGATTTTAATACATACAAATGTTATTAAAATGTCATTCTGACTGAACACAGTGGCACATGCCTATAATCCCAGTGACTCAGGAAGCTGAGGCATAAGGATTATAAGTTTGAGGCCAGCCTGGGCAACGTGGCAAGACCCTGTCTCAAAAGAAAAAACAAAGGGCTGGGAATCTAACTCAGTGGTAAAACAACTCTGGTATTGACCCAATACCAAAAAATAAAATAACAAAACAAAACTAAGTGTCATTCTGAACATTATTGACCTAAGGAATGTGATCTGGGTTGCAAGTGGATAGAGTTAAGAGGAAGACATATTTATTCCAAATAGAATATCTAAAATAAAAAATCTAAACTATTAAAAATATTGAACAGAGTTATTTTGTTGTTTTCTTCCAATTATTATTTTTCATGCATCATTTATTTTTTTTAACAAATAACTCATGTTGCAAAAATTATGCTATGAGGGCTGGGGGTGTAGCTCAGTTGTAGAGTTCTTGCCTAGTATGTGCAAGGTCTTGGATTCCATCCTCAGCATTGCAAAATAAATAAATAAAAATAACTACATTCAGCTGGGCAAGGTGGCACACACCCTTAATCCCAATTACTCAGGAGGCTGGGGCAGGAGGATCACAAATTCAAGAACAGTCTAGGTAACTTAAGAAGACTGTCTCAAAATTTCAAAAATTAAAAAGAAATGTTTTAAGGGTTGGGATGTAGCTCAGTGGTAGAGCACTTACCTGGCATGCAAGGGATTTGGTTCCCCCATATTGTAAAAATGTTAATTAATTAATTGATTAATTAAGATTATGATATGAGGCTGGGGTGTAGTTCAGCAGTACAATGTATTCCTAGCATGTATGAGGTCCTGAGTTTGATCCCTAGCACCAAAAAGAAAAAAACTATATGTATATATTTGTGTATATATATATACATATATAATCATATGTATATATATTTGTTTTGGTGCAAAAAAAGATAACACTCCCAGCCTTTAGAAAGAGGAGCCAAAATAACTTTTGCTGTAATTTTATTAGTCATGGTCCCAGCAAAATACAAAGGCACCCTTGATGAAATTCAGAAGAGAACAAAATGAAGAACTTTTTATAGAGGGTGGGAGCAAGGTGAAAGGAACCAACCAGGGAGGCTTACCTATTTAGGCATCAGAAATGGCAGACAGCCAATACCATGTCTAGGTTTTTTGTTTGTTTGCTTTGTTTTTTGGGTACCTGGGATTGAACTTAGGGACACTCAGCCACTGAGCCATATCCCTAGCCCTCCTTTGTATTTTATTTAGAGATAGGCTCTCAATTGCTTGGCA